TTTAATCACATGGGTTTAATGCCAATTGCAAAATCTGCAAAGATTTTTTTTTTTTTTTTTTTCCCCTCTTTGCTCAGACCTTGGTAATCCTTCCATTTGAGCATCTTCCTAAGGGTCTTTCTCTGTTGTCCACTCTTGCCGCAAGATTCTTACTCTCATTCTCCTTTTCAAAATGAAATATGGATTTAATGTTACCTTGTACTACGAAAGAGGTGAGAGAAGGAGAACCCTATCTTGCTGCAGCAGTTACAGAGCTTAAAAAAAACTAAAGGGGCAAAAATAATTAGTGTGCTACGAAGTAAGAGCAAATGAGAGTTCACAATGCTTCCTTGGAGACAGGAGGGGAAGAAAAGATGCGGCTAAAGTTTAGAACTGTAAATTTTTAATCTAATTTGGTTTATTTCTTCCTCATCTCACTTCTGAGACAAATCCTGTCTGCTGCTTATTTCCGTTTTCTTTCTGATACATTGTTGGCTGTTAAGACACAGGGCTGGATGGGATCTTGCAAGGTCTTCCCTCTCAGATCAGGAAAAAGCCATTTCCAGATAACCTGGTTGTTTCATCTGCTTGACTGTAGTGAAGGTAACATCAGAGACTTTACAACCTGCAACAGTAGACTCTGATTGCAGAACTCCAATGTTTTGTCCCCCACTACTTCTGTTTTTCCTGTGAACTACAAAACTGGAGGATCTGACAGAGCATTGAAATAGTGAGTACAAGGGAAGGGCGTGCAGGGAAGGGCAGGTAGACCCGATTTTCTATTTCTCAAGGGATGCGTAATTCTTGTGCCAAAATGAAACTCTAGAAAAATGAAATATATCAAGCTCAAGTGCTAGAGAAGGTAGGTATTTTAGGAAGACTACCCCTTATCCCTTAGACTCTTGGTCAGTGCCCTTGTTCAGTAAATTCATCCACCTCTAACAACTCATTCAGAGACTGCTGGGAGTATAAAGAAATCTAGAGGCTTAGGGAAGAGGTGTTTTGTTTTGTAGGTTTTTCCTCTCTCTTCTCCCCTCCACCCCCCACCCGGAAAAGCACCGAAGTTACAAGCTTATGGGAAATGGAGCTCATGAAGGAAATCACCTCCTGCTGTGGGCATCAAATGAAGGCATTAAATGAACATGGACAGACCTATTCAGACAGGGGCTGTAACAAGTTTCCCTTGCTTCTGCAGTATAAAGCCAAGTTCTCCTTTTAAATATAACTTCAGTTATGAAAAACGTGGACACTTGGAGATGCAGAACCTTTCTTGTTTCACACTGAGCGAGTTTGTACCACCCACTGCTATCCTGCCTAAATTTAATCAGTTAAGATGCGTAACTTGGTAACCTCAGTTCCTTTTATTGTTAGAAAAATATCATAAGAACATGTTTACGGGTGATTTATTTTGCTCAGTTCTAAAGAATTTTCTGGAGATGCCTCCTATTTGACTGTATAAGCAAAATGTGATCTTAATTTCGAGAATGGTATGTAATTAATTTTTATTAGTATGTACATGTATTTCATGCATTTCTGCATATTTTGAAAAGTAAAAAAACGCATGCAGGAAATACAGTGATTTTCCTTTTCCCGTAGCTTCTTTGAAGATTTGTTTATCAAGTTCTCTAGAATCTTTTTAGTCACTTTCTGAGAATAAATTGGTTCTTTCTTAGAGATGCATGAGGAAAAAATCACCACCATCTTCGTTAATAATGAAACCTCCATTTTTACTTTATTGAGCACAGTGGATTTTGATCAGCAAAAGTTTGTGGATTTTTTTTCTCGGGGAAAGTTGATTTTGGTTTTCCATTTATTGTTCATTTTGATAATAAACTTTTACATTATTATTATTAGTAGTAGTAGTAGTAGTAGTATTAGTATTTTTATTAAGATTGATACCTACCAATAGGAAAGAACAGCAGCAATTCTGTGTAAGATATGAAGGTGATAGCAAAACTAGCAGTTTTAAAACTAGCATACTAATATGTGGTTTTAAATAGCAAATTCTTTAATTTTAACAGCTAGTCAAATGGAAACCTGCCTTTGAGGCCTATTACCTCTGAGATAAATAATACTTAAATAAATATTAATACTCTATCACAACAAACTTTATTAAGAGTATTAAAACTTGAAGGGTTTTATAAAAAGTGAAGGAAATGGCTACATAACTGTAATATTAAAGCTTGAAATGTATTCAGAAGTCTCTAGTGTAGCAGTAAACATACTAACCTTTCTTTTAATTTCCCCATTCGTGAATGCTTTGGTTTCGATAGTGAAGTTTAAAGTAACAAACAAAGAAACACCCACAACATGTAGTTACTTTTGGTCTCAAAATGCTTGCTTAATATGAATTTGCCTGTAGATAGTTCAAGGCTCCTATGTCTAAGCTTCTGTCGTGGTTTAACCCCAGCCGGCCACTGAGCACCACGCAGCCGCTCGCTCACTCCCCCTGGGTGGGGTCGGGGAGAGAATCAGAAGGGTAAAAGTGAGAGAACTTGTGGGTTGAGATAAAGGCAGGTTAAACAGTA